TAATGTTTTGTGTCTCTGAGTGTTTTTTATTTTTTGTAATGTTTTGTGTCTCTGAGTGTTTTTTATTTTTTGTAATGTTTTGTGTCTCTGAGTGTTTTTTATTTTTTGTAATGTTTTGTGTCTCTGAGTGTTTTTTATTTTTTGTAATGTTTTGTGTCTGTCTGAGTGTTTTTTATTTTTTGTAATGTTTTGTGTCTCTGTGAGTGTTTTGCAGGACGACCTGTCGGAGCCTTTGTTGCAGGAGAACCTGGACGGTTCCTCGGGGGTTCTCTTTCCTTTCTACGACCCCGACACACACATGCTCTACCTTGCTGGGAAGGTACAGCCTGACACCCAAAATAACTCATAATGTGAGTTCATCCAGGTGAACGCAGATGACATGACTGTTGTTCTTTAGGGGGATGGGAACATCAGATACTACGAGATCAGCTCAGAAAAGCCCTTCATCCACTTCTTAACAGAGTATCGTTCACATTCACCTCAGAAAGGAATGGGTAAGAAACACTGAAACACTGAACGAGTAGAAGTCTGCTGGATTTACCCAGAATGCTTTGTGTCCGACTGGTTCTCCCTCTCAGCTGTAAACAAAGCTGCCGGGCTAAACGAGCCGACAGTATTTGAATAACCAAATGCTGCTGCATGATGAGCCAACAGCCGGCTGCACTCGTGCTTTAGATGCTAAACTCATGATTCCTGGTGAAGACGCATGGAAACATGCACTGCGTTTCGTTAAACTTTCCAAACTGGTTGTCCAGTTTCTAAAAACTCAGCTTTGAGTTATCCAGGGTTCTTACAGCGTCTTGAAAAGTTTGGGTCTGTAGATTTGATTTCAGGTCTGGATAAATATGGACATGGTCCGGCTCTGTCCTTGTAGACAAAACGCTTCATTTCATGTTTCTGTGTGTGAACTGTTCGGAGGCTTTGTGTCGTCCTGCAGGTGTCATGCCAAAAAGAGGCCTCGACGTGAGTTCCTGTGAAGTGTTCAGGTTTTACAAGCTGGTAACCACCAAGAGTCTCATCGAGCCTCTGTCTATGATCGTACCCCGCAGGGTAAGAGCAGCAGCACTCGCACGAACACACAGCCTCCCCCTGGGCTGACTCGTTGCACATGTTTGTGTTTGTAGTCGGAGTCGTATCAGGAAGACCTCTATCCGATGACGGCGAGCAACAGGCCCGCTCTGTCTGCAGAGGAGTGGCTCAGCGGCGTCAGCAAAGGTCGGGAGTAAGAGTGGGCGACGGTTTAATATCTATAGACGCATCTAAAAAGATCATTGAGGGTTCTCATTGTTGAACAAACGAAGACGTTTTGTTTAATGTCTCGTAGCTTTGTCCAGCCAGGACTAATGTTTTATTAAATGGCAGTCCTGTTGTGTGTATGAGGTGACAAACATAGAAGTCACGTTTTGTCCCGGTCCCCCTGTCCTCCAGGCCCCCTGCTCATGTCTCTGAGGCCCGGGAGCGAGGCGACGGAGCCTCCGGCAGACACGAAGGGACGGAGTAACTCACTGGGCACGTGCAGGCCTCAGAGCAGACCAGACACGCTGCAGCCCGCCTACATCCAGGACCAGCTGGAGGCCAAAGACTCGAAAGGAAAGGACGGGCGTCCAGAGGACGACACGAGGTGGACCGCCGTGAGCAACGGGGAGGACGTTGCTCTCTGCTCGATTCCCAGGACGGAGAACGAGGTGCGGGAGTTATTATCCAGTGGTTCCATTTTTAGTCTCTGGAGGTGTTTTACTTCGATTTTAATGAAAAAGATTATTGTTAATTACAGCAGATTAACTTTGATGTTTCTGGAACTTCCAACAAAATGTTGTTAGTGAGCAAACTCATTGTACTGAACTTTCCAGACGCTACCCAACAATTTTCAGTCAGGTCATCTGGACAGTTTCTTTTTATTTTCTGCAACGTTTCACCTTCCATCCAGAAGGCTTCATCAGTCAAGGAAACGCACAACAAAACTGAGTCTCCCCCCAACAGCTGTTGTCTGTTGGTTTCCAGACGCTACTTTGAACTTCGCGGCTGATACAATGATGCGGCTAATTTATTGATTTCATTTATTTATTAGCTAACGAGCTTCCTGCCACCAAAAGCATTTAGCCTCGTCACACCCGGGCGCTCGCATAGCTGCCCAATACACGTCTCTTGTGTGGGGGGGTCCTCGTGACTCAATGAGACCACCTGTATGAATAAAGGTTAAAAATAATCTGACCAGTGAAATAACTGAGCAGGTCACAGTGGAACCAATGAGACGGAGAGGAGCAGGGATTCTGCTGAGCATGTGAGTCTCACATGCTCGCAGAGCAACTGTTTGCTCCGCAGAGCAGGAGGACAGCTTCAAGATGGAGAACAATGACCTCCTGGTAGGCTAATGTATTTTTTTTAACCAGCCGTGTCACCGGCACTGATCAGAAAAAAAACATTTAGTGTACGTGTTTGTGTGTGTTACCAGTGCGTATTTAATTAAAAGTTTAAAAAATCTTTCTGTGCAAATATCTCATGTTGCAACGTGGACAGACA